CCCTTCCTTTCCTAAACCTTCCCTTCCTTTCCCAAACCTTCCCTTCCCTTCCCAAACCTTCCCTTCCTTTCCCAAACCTTCCCTTCCCTTCCCAAACCTTCCCTTTCTCTTCCCAAACCTTCCCAAATCGTCCCTTCCCTTCCCAAAGATTCCCTACCCAAATCTTCCCAAACCTTCCCTTCCCTCCCCTCCCTTTCCCTTCCCAAACCTTCTCTTCCCAAACCTTCCCTTTCCCTTCCCAAACCTTCCTTTTCCCTTCCCTTCCTTTCCTTTTCCTTTCCCCTTTCCTTTTCCCTTTCCTCCCCTTCCCAAAACCCTTCAGTGCAACAAATCTCATTCCTCTGGGATGAGGAGCCCCAAATTCCCTGAGAGAAACTCTGGGAGCCGCAGCTGGAAGGGCACTGGAGCCCCTCCCATCCCAGGGGAGGGGATCCTTTCCATCCTACAGCCCCATCCCCGGATCTCGCCAGCTGATTATCCTTAAAGTGGGATAATTGATGTTTGGGAAGAGGGGATTTTCCTCCTGGGATCTCCTTTGCCAGGAGGGAGGTTCAAGCAGCAAACTGAGCTCTAAAAGCAGCCTGGGAGGACACATTTCACTTGCCCTTTGGACTCCCTTCCTTTGGCTTTATTTATTTCTTTGATCTCCCCTTTTCATTTATTTGTTTTATCTCCCCTTTTCCTTTATTTGTTTTATCTCCTCTTTTCCTTTATTTATTTGTTTGATCTCCCCTTTTCTTTCATTTATTTGTTTTACCTCCCCTTTTCCTTTATTTGTTTGTTTGATCTCCTCTTTTCCTTTCTTTATCTTTTTTATTTCCCCTTTTCCTTCATTTATTTGTTTAATCTCCCCTTTTCCTTCATTTATTTGTTTGATCTCCCCTTTTTCCTTTATTTGATTGTTTAATCTCCCCTTTTCCTTTATTTATCTGTATGATCTCCTCTTTTCCTTCCTTGTAGTGCTCTCAGCCTCCTTATTCCTCCTTTTCTTCCTTCTTTTCTTATTCAAGGCCCCTTTGGCAGAGAGGAGGGGGGGAGAAGGGAGACAATCCCAAGGAAACTTCCCTCTTCTTTATTTCCAAACCTGTTCAGCAAAGAAGCAGGGGTGGAGAGAGAGGAAAACCACAGGGCATTAAAAACCCTGGAATGTGCTCCTGCTGCTTCCCTGAATGTCAGGGGAGCCTTATCTGGCCTTGCACACAAGGAAAGAGAACTCCAGCCTTGGGAAGTGGAATAAGGAACAGGGAAAAAATCCTTTGCTCGTGGCATTTAATTAAAGATGTAAATTTATGAACGGCCCTGAAATCATCAAATTAAAAGGCAGGGCTGGCCTGAATTTTGATTTTATTCCCTCCACGGGCTTCCCCTCCGTCCTCCCCCTGTTCTCCTTCCCGCTAATCAAGGAGGTGGCACGTGGGCCTGTCCTGGGGGTTTCCCCAGGGGTTTTTATTCCCGGCACATCCTGCTGCTGATCCAAGGAAAGGGCAGATGGATTTGTGCCTTTTTCCTGCAGGGAATCTGGTGCAGAGAGCAAAGGGCTCACCTGGAGAACCAGAGCTGGGGTGGTGGCACCACGTCCCTGGAGACCTGATGTGATTGGTGCCTTCCAGTTTCATCCCAATTCCAGGGTAAACCTGCCCATCCCCAATCCCAACCTGCGTCTGGAAGGGCTGGAATTGCCTTGGGATCTCTGCTATTCTTTGGGGACAGAGGAACCTTCCCTTTCCCCTTCCCTTTCCCCTTCCCTTTCCCCTTCCCTTTCCCCTTCCCTTTCCCCTTCCCTTTCCCCTTCCCTTTCCCCTTCCCTTTCCCCTTCCCTTCCCTTTCCCCTTCCCTTCCCAAACCTTCCCCCTCCCAGCAGGAAGCACAACCCCCGGAGTGCGAGGTGCTCTTGGTTTTCTGCTTCCAGCAGCTGCCCAGGTCCAGCCCGGATTATCCCTCGGGATTATTGATCCCCCTGCCTGGAGCAGGGAGCAGAACTGAATCCCTTGACGTGCAGGGCCACATTTATCCCATGGAGGTGCTGCTCTGACACCCTCAGAAAACAGGGAGCAGGGAAGGGCTGTCCCGTGTCCTTTCTTTCGGCTCGCTCCTGTCTCTTGGATCTCCGGATCTCTGGAGAGCCCCAGGCCAGCTCTAGCTGTGCAAATGAACTTCAAGAGGCTTGGAAATGTTTTAATGCCTCCTCTCAGCACGGGGTGTCGGGTTTTTCCCCTTTCCTTGCTTTCCCTTGGATGGTGATAAATGGGAGGGGATGTGGTTTGCTTGGACAGCTGCCTTTGGAGAAGGGAGAGAGGGTGAGGGAGGTTATTTATCAGGGACTTAGGGAATCAAACAGGGATATGTTGGTGTGCTGATTCCCAAGGAGCTTTAATCCAATCTGCCAGCCTGTCCCAGCAGTGATAAAAGCCTTCCTGGGGGGAAAGAGTTCTCCCCCTGGCATGAGATGGCACTGCCCATCATCCCAGCCCCAACACAGAGCTCCTTGGGTTGGTGGTGGAGAAGACAAACCTGGTCATGGAACATCTGCCAGGTGGTGAATTGTCCACCCAAGGCCTTCACGTGGTCTTGATCTCCGGGAGAGGGGAAGGGCTGGTGAGGCTGCAGGAGGTGGGTGGGGAGCAGAGCTCAACATCCACCTGGGGGAGAAACCAGAGGAGGCTCCAGGATAATCCGAGGGATGGAGCAGCTCTGCTGGGAGGAAAGGCTGGGAGGACTGGGACTGTTCAGCCTGGAGAAGAGAAGGCTTTTGGGTGACCTAACTGTGACCTTCCAGTGCCTGAAGGGGCTACAGGAAAGATGGAGAGAGACTGTTGACCAGGGGATGGAGGGACAGGACAAGGGGAAGTGGCTTCACACTGACACAGGGCAGGGTTAGATGGGATATTGGGAAGGAATTCCTGGCTGGGAGGGTGGGGAGGCCCTGGCCCAGGTTGGGCAGAGAAGCTGTGGCTGCCCCTGGATCCCTGGAAGTGTCCAAGGGCGGGTTGGACACGGCTTGGAGCAACCTGGGCTAGTGGAAGGTGTCCCTGCCCATGGCAGGGGGTGGTTCAAACAGGATGATCTTTAAGGTCCTTTTCAACCCAACCATTCTGGGATTCTGGGATTCCTTTGTCTACAGGACAGTCAACAGCCATTGCTCAGAGTTTCAATGCCCCTGAGGTTGAGACTGAATATTAGGGAAAATTTCTCCATGGAAAGGTTTGTCCAACCCTGGCACAGCTGCCCAGGGCAGTGGTGGATTCCCATCCCTGGAGGGATTTAAAATCCCTGTGGATGTGGCACTTGGGGACATGGGTCAGTGGTGGCCTTGGCAGCACTGAGGAATGGTTGGACTTGATCCTAGAAGGCTTTTGCAACCTCAGTAATTCCGTGATTCCACGATTATGAGGATCAAAGTTTCTCCAGGCAGCTCCTTCCTGTCGGTTCCAAACGGTTCCGCTTTTAGGAACTCCAGAGCTGTTCCCTGTGCTCCTGATGCAACACTGCCATGGAAGGTGCATTTTTTCCAGCTTTTCTGCTGGAGAGCCCAGGCTCTCAGAAGGTTTGAATTCACCGGTGACACATCCAGAGGCTTTCATGCTCCATTGACTTCGTTGCCACCTTTTGGATATCGGGCTGACAGTGCTCAGGGCCGGTTGTCTGCCTTGGGATGACACAGGAATTCTCAGTCTCCCAGCCAAGGCACAGCATCACCTGCTCATCTTGTTTATTATGGGTTTTTTCCCCTCGTGAGATGTGGAAAAGGAAGGGTAGACTGAGCTGTTCCAATGGACATAAGGAAATTCCTGGACGTGGAAAGCTGTGGCATCCGTATCTTCTCCCTGGGCAGACAAACCAGAGCTCTCAGGGTTGTGCTGAACTTCTGCCCTTCCCACCCAGGGCACCTGAGCCCACATTCCCTGATTCCCTGATTCTCTGACCAGCCATGGAACACTGGGATACAGGAACTGGAGCTTTGCTGAGGTCTCCCTCCCTCCTGGACCAGAACCCACCGGCTCCCACATCAGGAGAGACTGTCCAGCTCTTCCTCTCCCTGG